TATTTAGTAAAACTAGAAACAATATTTGCTTATAATACAGAAACGAGCTCTGAATAATTTTAGATTAATTTGAATTAAATGTTAACCTACGCTAGAGAAATATTGTGGACAATATGTTCACAAAGTGAAAAGCGTATATCGAATATGTACAATGCGCTTAATACGTCCGTCCGTCAATTAGCCTGTCTGCCTCCATGAAGCAAAGCATTGAAGCTGGAGAATATGTGTGTATGGGGAGTCCTTTGCTTTAAACCCATAGCGAATTTTTATATTTATTTTAGTATAAACTCTATTTCCTTCTGTTTCACTATTCGATATATAAAGCTATGTATCACAGCAATAACAAATTTTGTATAAAAATGCTTATACAGCTAATATCATATCATATCTTGTAATTCGATTCGGTTGGTCCTGCTCAATAGACATAACAGTAATAATAATAAAATAATTACTGCAAACGACTATCATGCAATCTGTGGCTTTCTACTTGTGTATTATATAATTTTTGATTTCAATTTGGATTATTTTTTGTTTTTGTATTTTAAATATATAACAATATTATTTTTTTATCATTCACTACCCTCTCAGGTATTCGGAGAGAATTTGTTGTTAACTTGCCTAAGTAACATGGCTTAGAAAATTAAAAAAACGCGAACTATAAAAACTATAAATGCATACTGCATTAATTTTAACATAAATATTGTATTTGATTGTTTAATATTCAATTTTATATTTATTTTTTATTTTTATCTTACCAATACTATTAGCCTATACAGGTACTGTAATTTTTTATTTTGAATATTGTCTCTCATATATATTATTTCAGACTTAAAGAGTTTTATTATACTTTATATATATTTTTTATTTCAATTTTAATTTTTTTGTATTTTGGTTAACAAACTTTGTTGCTGTTTATCACCAACTTGTAAATAATAGATAAATAAAACATAAGAAAAACAGCTTAACATTTTTAGTTGCTATTGAGTTCTTGTGTGCGCAGCTTTCTACTGATTTGCGGTCAAAGATTAGTTTCTGGGTATTTGCTCGTCCTTGGCTGACTAATGCAGTGACCCAACGTTTAGCTGCATGCACTGCTAAGTGTTAAGTGTGAGTGTGTGTTTCGCTGTTTGTGGAGAGCTTTAATGGCTGCTAAAATCACTAGCAATTCCTAACATATCCAGCCAGCTGCCAGCATTTTGGGTAATCAAAAATTTCAGTTAAGCGTTAATTGGAAAAACAAAAACTAACACTAAAAATAAGTGCAACTGAAAATACATGTAAACTGAACACTATGCCACAGCAGGAGGCGACTGTAGTCTGAGCTTTGTTGCGTCTGTTATCAATTGCCTAACCAAGTATACATCTACATATCCACACACCAACATACACACACACATTAAGTGCAGGCAAGTAAAAACGCGGAAAAGAAGCTTTTGTGCATGTATGTAAGAAGAAAAGAGGGGCGTAAAAAAATAATAAAGCATAAATGCCATTTGACCTTGTCTAGCAAACAGAATGTCAATTGTCTGTGGGGCAGAGCTTGATGCTGCGGCACGACTTGGTCGCAGGTTGGCAGAACAACAAATTGAGTGATGCCCTTTAATTATGACTCGGTACAATTCCAACTGTGTATCAGAGCTGAAAAATTGTTTTCGCATATTGATTAAGTGTTGGTAGAAATTTAGAAAAAAATTACCAAAAAATATAATGCGCTATTTACGAATACCGCGGTAACCCAATTACCTACACTTCCTTCCGTTTAATTGATTAGGTAGTCAAATTGAAAATTAATTGAAGTTTTCTAATACTGCAAGCCTTTTGTGTATTTCAATTATTACTAGAGCTCAGGAAATTGCGTGTTTGTCTTGTCTTGGTCAATAATTGAGGTTAAGCGAACGAGTAAACTCCATAAATGGTATTAAATTGTTTATGGAGCAAGGTTATGACTGGACCCTGGACATGTTTGAAATATGAGTTCTTATGATAAATTGCGAGGTGATGCAATCAACACAAATACCAAGACACTTTGTGCTAAAATGATAACAAAAATTCGTCATAAAATGTACATGCTTAAAACAGAATTAAAAAGAACTAAATGAAATGTGAAATATTTGCTTTGGCTTGTATTATTTTCATATTATGAATTTTTAAAAAGTCCGCGCTTTAGTCAGTTTCTAAGGCTCAGTGATACAAAATTTTTACAATTTGTATGTGGCAACTCTGAAAGCCAGGGATGAAATGGAAATTTGATACAATAAACACATATTTCAAAAAATACATATACACTAAAATCATATAATTATAAGTTATATATGTAATAAAATAACCCCACTTGAGACAAAGACTAAGAAACATGATATAATACATTATTTCGATAGGTAACATTTTCAGCATCTGCTTACGACCGCTTACACTTCGATAGCGTTATCGATGTCGCATCGTTGGCGTTGCCACGCTCGCCTATCTAAATAACTGAGCAACGCTACCCGCCAGTTGTTTGTTTTGTTTGTACCCTTTTACAACGACGACGACTGCAAGGTGAATGAGTTTTGCGTAAAATATTATAAATTAACAGCTGCGCGCGTGTAGCATGAGTGTACACACACACATATAATACAAAATTCATTATCGCTATATAATAGTCGGCGCCAATGCGAAATCATATATTTTGCACTAGTGCAAAAAGTTATAACCCATGAAACATAAACAAAACACTGATAAGCCGTAACGCTATTGCCATTATCAATACACTGCGGGTCGGTCATTTTGCAATATTCCTTCGTGTTAACGAATGCAACAACAAAATTATCAAGCTTAACTTGTTGAGCAAGTTAAACGCCCAAGAATCTACCAACAATGGTGAAAATATTTAATGCTCTGCCCATACGGCAGCGACAGCGACGCAGCCACTGACCTTTATTTGACTTTTACGCTGCCTGTCTGCGCTCGGCAATGAACAAAAAAATACAGACATTGCCTGCCACACATACAGATGTTGTGTATATACCATTGCGTTGATGTGTCGTTCCTAGTTTGTTGTTATTGTTGAAGTTCTTGCAGCCGCTATAGATGACGTCGCCGGCGACGGCACCGTCGACCGCGGCAGGCAAAGGCAAAGGCGATGTCAGCCGCGCAGCCAAAAGTTCGAATTTTTACGTGTTGTATCTATGTGTGTGTGTGTGTATGTACACATATTCTGGGTGCGCGTGCAAGAGACCCCTCGTCTCACAATTCACATTTATCAGTTGAAATAAAAATTAATTTAATAAAACCGTAAGCAAATTGAACATGTGCCAAACCATCGAAACCATCGAAATTCAATTTTCGCTGTCAAGTCTTTGCTAAACATGTAAATTCTTCTTAGTTTTTCCTCTCTTGACGCCCACAAACTTTTACTCTCGAAAACCTGCCGCTCGCTAAGTAGCGAATAATTATTGTTATCTACTTTTAATTGTTGCTAAACAGTTTCCTAATTTTTCCGTTCATATGTGACATTTCAAAGGTAGAATATCTTCGTATGTGACTTGTATTGTGTGTCTGTCCATCAACCCAACTGAACACTTTATACATCGAACAAAAAGGTACTACAAAAGAAAAGGTGAAGAGAACACTCACTTAATTCTTTCTAAATTCCATGAATGAATTGCATAAATCAGAGCACAAGAGAGGTTTTTAAGAAAGATACTTGAATATTGAGTGAAAATTATAATAGGAAACACACGAAATAGTAACCAATTATAGTAGAACTATCGAATTGGAATACAATTTAAATGGAATATTTTTCACAAGTGATACATTTAAGAAACACCATTCAAATAAATAATTTCAATAATTAAAACGAAGAGATCTCTTAAAGGTTAAAATATTCAGGGAGCAAGTTCGGGAAAATATGGTTGGAATCCGTTATATTTTATATTACAAAGAGTTCATTCAAATAAGCTTCGCAATATGTTTGCAAATGAATATTATTCGATGTCCCACAAATACAAAAAAAATATTAGCTAAAACATTTGACATGACGTCTTCAGATCTAAATGAAAATTGTTTAGTCAGTAGTTTGTGTTAACACTTGTTGGCAATTAAGTAAATAATAATAGTTTGCTAAACCATCTGAACGTAACACTTAAGCCCAAAGATTAAAAATTAATTTCAGAATGAACCAATTATTTGTTAATTCCCAAAGAAACTAATGTTTAACTGTTAAACCAAATGCTTCATAGCTGTAGATTTTGATTTAATTTTGAAATATATTATATACATATAATATAAAAAGATTATTATTATTATTATCACATACATATATACTACCAACAAATTGGCTTTCAATAAATGTTCAATTGCCGTTACATAATTTGCAATATTCCAATACCAATATGTTTGCAAAATTATTTAATGATTGTATTTCGTATACGTATTTGAATGTGTATATTCATATATGCTATGTATATATGTATATAATTTGGCAGCGTCAGCAATTCTCTTAGCTCATTTCCAAACCACCTAAATATAGCAGATCCCGAATGCGAATTATGGACGACAAATGCATAACAGCGACCGCCATGATAAAGTCAGGGCCAATGGCAGGCGGGCGATATTATCAATTGTCAACTATCAGTTCAAAGATCGAAGATTAGGGCACACCTTCACATTGTCAATTACCGAGTTGTTATACTCTGCAGCCAATGAAAATTGGTAACCAGTGTGAAAGGTATTTGTTAATAAAATAAAAACAAAATGCAATGACACGTGGGAGGAAATAGCCCTCTTTAGGGGGCTCAAGGTATCTCCTAGTTGTTCACCCCCGGCCAGATTATTTGGTTTTATGTTACTGTTGGTGTCAATGTTAATGTTAATTTTGATGACGCAACTCAAGCAGCTGGCTGGCTCTGCTTAGGCTTACAGTTTACAGCTTTACAGCTCTGTAATCTGGGTCAAGCAACAGCTAAATTTAGCTAGAATTATCAGTACGCTTCGATTGCCGGCACTAAGAGGTTGTCTAGGTGCTGAAACAGCTTTGAAATAATGCGGCGACAAATGTCTTATCGTTTTGAAGATCAAGATGCATCTCCTATGGCCTTGCGGGTTACTTGCATATGGCATATATAATATAATATTATTCTTATTTCATTTAATATATCTTACTCAATTCTTTTTTCCACACTTTCTTTGCAGATGAATCGTCGATTTTCACGCGTGGAGTCCGGCGCGGACCTAAAGGACTACTTCGATCGAGGTGATATTGCGTCGAGGGAGAATCGCTGGAACTTTGAAGTCGCATGGGAGGTAGCCAACAAAGTGGGCGGCATTTACACGGTGATACGCTCCAAGGCCTATGTGTCCACCGAAGAGATGGGCGAGCAGCTGTGTATGATGGGGCCATATAAGGAGCAATGTGCACGCACTGAAATAGAGGAAATGGAATTTCCGCGCGGAAATCCGCTTCTGGATGCAGTCAACGCTTTACGATCGAGAGGCTACAAAATTCACACCGGTCGCTGGCTTGTCGATGGCAATCCTCAGTTGATACTGTTTGACATTGGCTCCGCCGCCTGGAAGTTGGATCAATTTAAGTTGGAGATGTGGGAGAAGTGCAACATTGGCGTGCCCCATTTAGATATTGAGACAAACGATGCCATCATTATGGGCTTCATGATTGCCGAATTTCTGGAGGAGTTCCGTAACTTTGCCATCTCCTACTCCCAAAACAATGAGCTCAGTCCGCCGCGCATCGTTGCTCATTTCCATGAGTGGCAAGCCGGCGTAGGTTTGATTATATTGCGTACACGACTCATTGAGATCGCCACCGTTTTCACCACCCATGCCACGCTCCTGGGTCGATATTTATGCGCCGGCAACACCGATTTCTACAACAATCTCGACAAGTTTGCGGTGGACGAGGAAGCAGGCAAGCGTCAAATCTATCACCGATATTGCTTGGAGCGCGGTGCCACGCATCTGGCACATGTCTTCACTACCGTATCGGAAATCACGGGCTACGAAGCGGAGCATCTGCTCAAGCGCAAACCGGATATAATCACGCCCAATGGCTTGAACGTGAAAAAGTTCTCAGCCATTCATGAGTTCCAGAATTTGCATGCCGTTGCCAAGGAGAAGATCAATGAGTTTGTACGCGGTCATTTCTATGGGTGAGTCGGATCTATCTACTTGTTATACGGCGTTCGTTTCCTATTTTCACTCTTATTTGTAAAAATACAATATAATGCTATTTCTGCTTTATAGCCACATCGACTTCGATTTGGACAAGACGCTGTACTTCTTCATTGCGGGCCGCTATGAGTTTGGTAATAAGGGCGCTGATATATTTATTGAGTCGCTGGCTCGTCTCAACGCGATGCTAAAGCACGAGAAACCGGACACAACAGTGGTGGCCTTCCTTATATTTCCCACCAAGACGAACAACTTCAACGTCGACTCGCTGCGTGGCCATGCTGTAATTAAGCAGTTACGTGATACCATCAATAATGTGCAGCAGGCGGTGGGCAAGCGGATGTTCGATACATGCCTCAAGGGTCATATACCCGGCCCCGATGAGCTGCTGCAAAAGGATGATCTGGTTAAGATCAAGCGCTGCATGTTTGCGATGCAACGTGATTCAATGCCTCCGGTGACCACGCACAATGTGGCCGATGATTGGAACGATCCGGTGCTATCGTCGATCAGACGCTGTCATTTATTCAATTCGGTTCACGATCGCGTCAAAATGGTCTTCCATCCGGAGTTTTTGACTTCGACAAATCCGCTATTCGGTATCGATTACGAGGAATTTGTACGCGGCTGTCATTTGGGCGTCTTTCCGTCGTACTACGAACCCTGGGGCTATACGCCTGCCGAGTGCACCGTCATGGGTATACCCAGTGTAACCACAAATCTATCTGGTTTCGGTTGCTTCATGCAGGAACACATTAGTGATCCAAAATCCTATGGTATCTATATTGTGGATCGTCGTTATATTGGCTTAGAGAACAGCGTGCAGCAGCTGTCGAATTTTATGATGGAGTTCTCTCGTCTAAATCGTCGCCAGCGCATCATTCAGCGCAACCGTACAGAACGCCTCAGCGATTTGCTTGATTGGCGTACGCTGGGCATTGTATGTATTGATATAATACTTCTGATCTGGGCAGCTATTGATATCAATTATCTATCTCTATATCTGCAGTACTATAGACAGGCAAGGGTGAAGGCTTTGCAGGCCGTCTATCCTGATTATGTGGACGAGACCACCTTGTATGGTTCACGTAACAATTTAGTCTTCTCGCGTCCACACAGCGAGCCGCCAAGTCCTACCTCATCGCGTAAGTTGAATTAAATCAATTAAAGCGGAAAAAGAAAAAAATGCCCTATTTCTATCATATGTGTCAATTAATTTTGATTAGACAATCGGTATATTTAGGTGACTTTTTAATATTACTGTTTCATTGAGTAAAGTGTGAATCATAGCTAATCTAATTGTTGTCAAGGTGCAAATATGATCTGATGTCATTCAGAAATCATTGGAATATATGAAGTCAAAATTAAAATATATATCAGTATGTTCTCACGGGCTTAAATGCTATTTTCCCTCTATTTTATTTATAGGGCATACCACGCCTGCACCCTCGGTGCATGGTTCTGATGATGAGGACTCTGTTGATGAGGAAACTGAGCTGAAGGAATTGGGAATTAAGTAAACCAACCCCGAATCCTGGTCGTCAGCAACTGGCTACACGAACAATTCATACAGCGCAATATTACCATAAGTCTAGTAATTTTCTTTCACATGTTCAAAGGGCATGCAGTAGTCGACGAAACGACAACGCCCACACGAAGAAACTATCTACCTAATGCTACAACTGTTTTTCTTTAACAAATTTTTACGCTCATATGCAACAGTTAGAACAATTTGAGAATATTTATGCAAAATGAGAAGATTCTATTTAATGTTGTTTAGTCTATAAGCAGATGAGTCCAACACAAACACAAAAAGGAACAAAATGTTATAAAATCAAATTAAATTATTGTTATTATGGTACAGAAACACAGAAATTGGCTACTAAATTGACCTTATCACATTAACCTAAAAATAGAATGATAAGGCGTAATCGCACTGCACTTTATTTGCACTTTATTGATATTTCATAAATGAAAACTGTGGTTTAGATGAATTCCCCTAGATTATGTAGCCACACCAATTTTTATTGCATAATATACTGCCTCATATTGATAAATCAACAATTATTGTTTTCTATAAATGGACTATACACATTATAAAAGAATGATAAATAAAGTTAAATAATCTATACATCATCTCGTCAGGTTAGCTCACCCTTTTACTCGTTTGTTTTTTCTAATTTACTTTTTTTATTGCATAAGTTTTGGATTTTTTTTTAAAAGAATACTTTTTAGGACTGCTAAACAATATACACTGAATAAATCCAACTTGTGTGGAGGAACTTAGGGAACTTTTCTTTAAAGGTTTATTTTAAAAGCTGAATATCTACAGAAACTAAAGACAAAAGTTAAGTTTGCCAAATGCATATGATTGGGTCTTCCCAGTTGAAGTACGTATTTTGCTCAGATGAAAAAAATGTATTTTGGAAAACCCGAACGGGAGCAACTTTTATTTTTATGATCTCTGTAAAGAGGAGTATCCTTTGGGCCACTTGCACAGCCTAATTGGAGGTCTGATGGTGTGAGAAGCCTTCCCTTACTATGGCACCTGTAAATTGTAGTTTTGCAAAGAATTGCACTGACGTATTAAATCTTGTTTTTCTACTCTTAGACAAGTTATTTCAGAATATAAGCTGGCATTTTCAGCACTACAATGCCACAATCCTAACTGGCAACCCAAAATATCAATATCTTTGAATGGCACCCATACTGAGCCGACATAAATATCATCGGGAACTATTTATGGTTGGACAAGAAGGTGAACGAGTCCGAAACCCAATATAATACAAAAGCCAAAAAGCGACATCGGTTTATGATTTCATTAAATTACATTGCTGATTAATACAAATCGTTTCAAAATCAAATCCTGGAAGCATGGCGAAGCATCGAATCCGCCAGGTCTATTTAGTATTTCTCAGGAAAAACAGAGTTATAGACTTGGAGTGGGACAATATTTTATATACTTGCATAGATAAAGTTAGAGGATCGGAGTCATTAGAAATGCATACGTCTGCCCCTCTGCACTGTCCGAATAACTTCTTGCGGGGCATTAATAAAATAAAATCGATCGAAAAATAAGCAGTTAATCTCAAAATTGTATTAGTTATCTTAATGAGTTTTTTTTATATATACAACCACTTTCAAAGTGCAAGGTCAAAATACAGAAAAATGTAAGAAGGAAAAAATAATAATTTTTTTTTTGAAACCCAATTTTCTTAATTCTAATATTTAATGAAATTTAAGTCGATAGCTGAGAAGCTAAAAATTCTTGATATTACCCACGGCGACTGTAAAGGGAACGAACAAATTTGTCATGACGACGTCTGCGACGCTGGGCGGGCACATCGTAGTACGGATCTTCCTCCTGCTCCACATGAGCAGGGGGCGATGAGTCTTGGTTTATTACGCCATCTTTGCAGTTTACCAATTCTCCACTGGGACCTAAACATTTATCTGATTCCACAACCCAGCCACGGTCGCCCTCGCCATCCTCAATATCCTGATCAACGCCCTGCTCATCATCTTCGTTCGGCTGTGGTTGAGGCTTAGGCAGAGGCTGGTAATTATAGTCAAATCCGGGGTTCAAATAGGTTGGATAGACTATAGGCTGTGGCATCATTGGTGATACATAGGCTGGAAAGCAACTCGTGCACTCTGGTGGCATGCCATTTTGCAGGAGGTAGCCATAGGTTACATACAAACATTTCTGACAGCTGGCGCGTCTCAGTCGCATGCTCTCTCTATTGTGGCCACAGGATATAAAGGGCCACGTATTTAAGTACGTGCAATCGTCGGATTGAGTTTGGACCTGGGATTGCGTCTGGTATTTAGGTATAAATTGGGAACGGTTGCGTTTTCCGGATTTGTGACGATACATGGGGACATATTCCACCGTTTCGTGGCACTCATCTGGCTGATCCTTCTCGCATTGAACCACTCGTTTGGCATGCATCACTCGCGCTTGGCATCGTGCGCCACAGACGCGATGCCGTGAGCTCTCCTGGCAATGCTCCAGGTGCTCGCAATCGCGCTCTCGTCTCACCACATGGCAGCAGGACCCCTGCTCATTGTAGCCAAGTCCAAAGCGACCGCCCACCTTGGACACATTCTGATGCACCTGGATATTGATCTCATTCCGACCCTGAATATCGCTCTTGATAATGTTGTTAATCTCGTTTGTTAGCCTGATGATGTTGGTGGTGTTCAGCGCGGGTTGAGCGGGTGCCACGTAGCTAGTATCATTGATGCCGTGCACTAGGAGCGGCTCTTCTGTCAGTTCCGGGCACAGTGGACACTCTAATTCGCACTTCTCTCTGCCCGCACAGATGTTCAAGCAGTTCTGCCGATTTGATTGACATTCCTCGTAGTCGCGCAAGGAGGGCTTCTCATAGTTTTGAAGTGGCGTGTGTATCACAATCTTATCCTTCAGGGATGATGCATCCTCGCCACTAACCAAACTTCCAACAGCCAGCACCAGCAGCAGTATCCACAACTTATTAATATATATCAATTATATAAAATAAGAATGAAGTCCATTATATTTCGCTTAAAATTTGCTATTGCGCAGGCTACAGCAATTACAACTTACCTTCATTTTACCGATTAAGTGAAATAGTTGAAGTATGAGTAACTCGTCAGACACTTCCTTTTATATTGTTAGGCTTTCTTAGCACGCGTCCAATAGCTCAGAATTCTTTTAGTCTACTAAAGAATCAGCTGTACTCTTTTCAAAAATGTACTTCATAGTTAACTGATTAGATAGCGTTATCTGACGATATTGAATGTTTCATTTAACGGTTTTTACAGAAAGGTTCGGAGAGCGAGAGAATTTGAGTGTTAATGGTTAATAATAATTAATTTGCTACCATTTATAATTCTTTCACCGGTTCAAACCAAAGCCCAAATAATTAATTAAAAATTTAAGCGTTTGCGCCCAATCAAAAGAAATTGTTTACTAAGTACGTCATGTACTCAGTCAAAAAAAGAGCTGGCTTTTCAGTTTCCATGAAAGAAATATAAAATATAAAAATTAAGCTGAGGATTTTTTTTATATATCATATCGTGACAATTGGTGCCGAGCACAACTAGGACTGCATTCAAGTTCCCCAGAGTAAGTCCTATGTTTCCGTGTCCTAGCGCAGCGACTAAGGTGTTCTTTGATATAATTTGAGTGTTAATGGTTAATAATAATTAATTTGCTACCATTTATAATTCTTTCACCGGTTCAAAACAAAGCCCAAATAATTAATTAAAAATTTAAGCGTTTGCGCCCAATCAAAAGAAATTGTTTACTAAGTACGTCATGTACTTAGTCAAAAAAAGAGCTGGCTTTTCAGTTTCCATGAAAGAAATATAAAATATAAAAATTGAGCTGAGGATTTTTTTATATATCATATATCGTGACAATTGGTACCGAGCACAACTAGGACTGCATGTATATACATAAATATATATATATATATATATATATATATATATATATATATATATATATATATATATGTATATATATATACATATATATATACATATATATATATATGTATATATATATATATATATATATATATACATATTTCAATTCCATCCAATCCTTCTAAATAAAAATCGTATTTTATTAAGCATTCGATAACTTCTCACATAACATATTATTTGAATGGAGAAATAATTTTTTTACACTTGTTTCTATATAAATTGAGTTCTTAAAAGTTAAGATACAAATCTTTTTTATATCGTGACATCATGACATATATACGTTATTTTGCAGTCAACTTGATTAACGACGCCATCCATATTCCGGACGGCAACCCACGGATCCGGCGAATTGTGGCGAATCGCAAAATTCTTTTTGATCGTAGTAGGCACACTTCGGACTATGGCAGCGATAGTTATAGCAGTAGGATGAGCAGGATGCCATCCGACCCGAGGCACAGCCGCTACAGTCATAACGATCTTGTTGGAAAAGAATACATCAATTCAATCTGCTAGATAATCGATATTTTTCGATCATATTGATCGATTTTCGATCGATTAATATGAGCCAACAAAGTCTAAGACTGATATTAGATATTCGACCAACAAATATGAATCAGCTAGACCACAGACCTCAAACCAATCAGTATGAAACAAAGTGGTCCATGATTGTTGATCATTCAAGGAGAATTATCTTTGATCAATCAATATGAATTACCCATCAGTAAAACAGTTTGTTACCTGAGGTTGGTGGGCAGTTGCCATGCGTCTGGCATTCGGAGTTCCAGTTAGGCGGTATGGTGAGCATTCTGACATTACTGTCGTACCAGCTGCTGATCCCGGATGGTCTTAAAGCCATTTTTGGAGCACTGCAAAAGTCGTCGCAGACGTGCTGCTTGGGATTGAAACATTGCCAGCGATTGCTTTCTGATGGACGGCGACAAGTGCGTGGTGCAATAACCGTGCAGCACTTGGGCGACGGTTGAGAAATTGGTGGATCGATTACCTCCTCTTCTGATTCTTCTACATAATCTCTATAGTCCGTTGGCAAAGTCAGCGAGGCGTTGACGGTCAGATGCTGCAAATTATTGAGCACCAAGTCGTGCGGCTGCTTTGATTCCTGAATGATTGTTCGCTCGATGTGAATCGGTCCGATCTCTACGGGTTGGGGGTAAACGCATTTCTGACCTGACCAATAAGTACCCTTTGGACATCTCGGCTCTACACAATTATTACTGTCATAGACTCCACGGCCACAATAAATCAAATGGCATTCGTCCTTGATTAGCACTGTGCCCTTGGGGCATTTTCTCAATGGAGCAGGAGGTGGTTCGGTGGTTGGTCTTCTGGTGGTCGTTGTTGTGGTTGTGGTTATCGTGGTTGTTGTAGTATGCGGTTGAACGGTCGGATAGAATATGGGAGGCGGTGGACTCGGACAGGGGAGGGTTTGTGGTGGAACGGTTGGATACGGTGCAACAGGACAAGGCAGAGTCTGGACTGGCACGGCTGGGCTGGGTGCCACAGGTTGGATTGGGCAAGGCAAAGACTGAGCTGGAGCAGTGGGCAGATTTGGACAAGGCAGAGTCTGGACTGGCACGGTTGGGCAGGGTGCCACAGGTTGGATTGGGCAGGGCAAAGACTGAGCCGGAGCAGTGGGCAGATTTGGACAAGGCAGAGTCTGGACTGGCACGGTTGGGCAGGGTGCCACAGGTTGGATTGGGCAAGGCAAAGACTGAGCTGGAGCAGTGGGCAGATTTGGACAAGGCAGAGTCTGGACTGGCACGGTTGGGCAGGGTGCGACAGGTTGGATTGGGCAGGGCAAAGACTGAGCTGGAGCAGTGGGCAGATTTGGACAAGCCAGAGTCTGGACTGGCACGGTTGGGCAGGGTGCCACAGGTTGGATTGGGCAGGGCAAAGACTGAGCTGGAGCAGTTGGCAGATTTGGACAAGGCAGAGTCTGGACTGGCACGGTTGGGCAGGGTGCTACAACTCCACATGGACCTATAAATATGAAAATATCTTAGATACACTGCTTATTCTATACATTCAATATATATTCACTCACTTGTAGGCTGCACACAAGCTCCATTGTAGAGAACACAGTGTGGCAAGCACGGAGCACTAGCGGCGACCGAGCTTGGACATTGAGCACTGCCAAGATCAAAAGCCAACAGCAGCCAAGGTAGAAACAGCACTTGATAGACGAACATGCCGATTAGAAATGAGCTCAGAATAGAAAATGATGCTTTAGGTAAACGCTACAATTGTCATTTCATCAGATTACAAAAAAAGGTTATCAGAAAGCTAAGAAAATTATGTTTTAAGCGCCGTCAAAGCATTAGCCAAGCGACGCAGTCGTTTAGTTGTCGATCGAGTTTTGCTGCTAAAACATTTCGAAAATCTTAGTCGGCATCAATGTGGACGATTTTTGTAATATTCTGCGTAATATGTATTGCGGAAGGTTATCATGATGGATATGGAAAGGTATGGAAATAAAAAAATATATTTTTAAATAAATATTTTTCAAATCTTTGTAGTGGATGGAATGTCCACAAGGTTATACAGCTATTAACGGCGTGTGCTATGGTACACATCTGTGTCAGGAAGGTGAGCTAAATATGGTAATATTATTATTATAATCTCAATGCAAAACAACTTTTCTTGTCTGCGTTAGGCTACTATCTGCACACGGATGGCCTGTGCCATGTGATTAATCCCATACCTTGCCCATATGACACCACTCGAAAACCCATTGAGGTACCCACCACCAGCACCACAAGCACCACAAGCACCACAAGCACCACAACGACAACTCAGGCACCTGAAATTGAAACGAACATCATTGACGATCCAGCGCCTACACCTGCGATGATTGAAGAACCTGATGAACAGGTGCGCTGCCCACCGGGCTCAATTTACTTCAGGGATCAATGTCGCAAGATACTCTGCACCCGGGGTGAATACTATGCTGGCCGTTGTCTTTCGTCCGCCTGTCCGCTGGGTACCGTGTGGTGGGCCAAGCAATGTCAAGAACCTGGTTATATAACAACTATATTAGAGATCGATAACGTGATAAAGAACAAGAACGAGTATCGAGCAGTAACCGAAAATATCAACAAAGTGGAATATAAGACCATTAAACCCTACGACCCCAATACGGATCAAAGTTATGTACATATGGAGCCACCGGGCCAAATTGTTCTTGAAAGCACACCACCAGCTAGCGTAATTGAGCAGCCCTCGGCCGGTTGCTGCACGGTCAAAACGCCACGTATCTGCCGACCATATTCATCGACATGGGTATGCTTCAATCGGAGTCAAAAGCTGTGCGACCCAAGGGTTTGTACTAGACCAGTAATCTACCTCAAGCCACCGCAAGTTGTGCAGCTGAATGATCCGCCAATATTGGTGATGCCACCGAATCCTCCATTGTTAACTTGCATGTCTCCCGATTGTCACGAGAGCGGTACGCCTATCCAGAAATTATATTGAAACATATCCATTTTCTATAGCTTAAAAGTATTTTCAGAAATGCTCAATTGTTCTGGTTGTGCCCAGGGTCGGCGAGAGACCTGCTCTGCAGGCTGCTACAATTATTTCTGTCCGGATTATAGTTGCGAGTTCAAGAATTCCGAGGACTTTTGTTCTTTATATCCCGGCGGTTTTGGCTGCAATAAAAATTATGGCTGCATCTGGAATTGGTGTTAGACGAATCAAAATTTATTAAAGCTTTTAAAGTCATTTTCTGAAAGTAACGTATGTGAATCATGATTACAAATATAATTTCAAATTTTCGCGCCCAACTGAGAACTTTATCTGTTCCCATTGAAAGTTGCTACATGATTAAAAATTGCTTTGTCGTGGAAATATTTAATAACGTTGTAAATATGCATATAGATTTGATGTTAATTCAACCAAACTATCTTTATTTGAATGCAGATAATAAAAATTATATAATAAATATAATAACAATAAAAAATTATATTGATTTTGAATATTGCAGGATTAAAAATTTCCTGTGTTTTGCCTTTTTAATTAAAATTTATATTTTTAGTAACCAACTCCATTTTAAAATTACTAGGTTTGTCCGCAAACAGCTGTTGAAATTGATAGTTGCCATCTGATTAAAAACGCATTCGCCACTCAAATATTAAATAACGTACTAAATAAGACGGAATACAATGTTTCTCGAACTTGGCAGCACTGGTTAGAAAGTCAGCTGATACCATGTTGCCCGTTTCGGCATTGCTTTTGCTCATTTCGGTTTCAGTCGTTAAACGAGAGAGCAGGCGTTGACGTTTGATTGCTACGCGCGCGTGTTTTGTGTACAAAGTGTTAAAACACAGAATTTGTTTGTAATTCAAATAAAAATTGAGTGTGTGTGTGTATGTGAGAGTGTACGTGCAATACAGAAACAACAAAATATAAAATAAAGTAACGGTCGTTGTTCTCGCTACTTTGGGGAAGGCGGTAAATAGAAAAAGTTCAAATCAAAAACCCGCAGTTACAGTTGCCGCGTTGCACTGTGCAACCGCTCTTAACGTTGCCTTTTTGTTGGTTGTCGGTGTTTTCGGTGTTGTCGGTGTTGTCTTCGGTGGAGCTTAAAGAGGCGTCCCGCACGTCCTTTGGAGGTGCCAATACCTAAGGTAGTTTTCTATTTACACATATAAATGCCTGTTTCTGTATGTGACTTGCAGTTTTATTGTGGCGTGTTTTATTAGCGTGTTTGCCAGGGCAATCATAAAAACAACGACAACAACAACGACGACAACTAATAAACGAATCCAAATTCGCGCCTTCGTTGTATAAGCGCATTGTTTATGCCGTCACAACAACAAAAACAAATATAAATAGCATTCGCGCAAATATACATCTAAATAACTAATTGCATGAGCATGTGTGCGTATTATGATGTCCAAATGCAGCAAATCAGTTCTCGACTTGCTTTGTGCTCATCCTCCTCTCTCCCTTTCTCTTTCTCCTCCCTCGTTTTGCTAGCTAGGGTAGCTCGTTTTCTCGCACACATTCTGTGAGTGTTAATTGAAAAAAACTACAAACTTCCTGTTTTGGGGAAAGGGTTGCATCTAGCAAAGCTTAGCTACTTACCCCGCCACCGCTCAACTAATCAGCTTGCGCATACATGCATACGCACAAATACACACATATATATATATATATCTTTACATATATATATAACTGTTGCCGTTGCCGCAGACAACATGAGCTCTATTGCGGCAGCCTAACTCAGCAATGACCCCATCCCCTTTCCACATCCCATTACCGAAGGGCGCTTAGTGAGTGGGTATATGCGTGTATGTGTGTGTATATGTATGTGTGTGTGCTTGCGAAGTGGAGTCATATAGAAGTTTTGTGCTTTTTGCTGTGTTGGTATTTGTCAGAATGCGGGCGTTGAAGTTTTTAGTGCAACATTTTTTCTATGTTTCGCTTATTTCTTCTTCTTCTTGCTCCAGCGGGAGCTTTTATATTGTATGTGTGTGCTATTATTAAAATGCCACATGCACGCACATACAGAGAGGAGCAGACACGGACACAGCAAAAAGAAAAACTATTCACAGATGTTGAGAGTGTGTGTGTGTGCGCGCCTACGAGGCGTTGGCGTTTCAGCTAGAAGCAGCGACAGCAGCGTGAGAGAAAGGGAGAGACAGAGAAACTGAAAGATATGGAGAGAGAGAGAGAGAGAGAGAGAGAGATGGATAAAAAAAGAGGGAGTGAGTGAGAGATGGAGAAAGATAGAGGGAGTGAGTGAGAGTAAGAGAGCATGGGCTAAAAGGGGAAGCCGCAAGAACGAAAGAGATAAGTTAATAAATAAATCAAATAAATCATAAAAATGTAAATGTAAATTCTCAATAAGAATTTAAATGAACCCCCCAAATGCTCCCCTTCCACACATACCTTGAGCCCTGCACTTGTTAGACATAAACGCGGACGCACATTGCCATATGTGCCCGTTACAATTGTTGTTGCTGTTGCTGATGCTGCTACTGTTGTTGTTAGGATTGTAATAAAGCGTTTTACGGCCCTCCTTGCTGCTGCTTATTGTTGTTTTTATGGCAGTTAAGCTATTTTGCGTATGACATGTTTGACAGAAGCCAGCAGCGTCGCCGCCATCGTCATCGTCACCGCGGCTGTCAACGCGGCTGTTAAATGCAGTCTCTGCCAGCGTCGCTGCTAGCTAGCTCACTAGCCCCCTCGTTCGTCCCTTTATTTTGTTGCGCTGAAAGTTTGGTTGGGTTTGCTGGCGTTTTAATTTTTGCGTCTATTAGCCACGCACACACACACAAGTAAACACTCGCATATACGCTTTGCTACAGCTGTAGTTGGGTCTGAAGCAGCAAAGTAGGGGCAGGGAGGTTCCGTTTGCAGCTACTTTTACGCATGTTTTCGCACAGCGCCAAAGATGTCGGCTTGACATAAATTGTGTCTGCCAAATGTGGCAAACTACAAAAAAAAAACTAGGACACGCCTACAAAAAAAAGAAGCATAAGAAACCAACAGTCGCCTGGCTTGTCGCATGTAATTGCTCGCCACAATGTAAATGACAAAAGCATGCTGCACAGTGGGCCTTCCTCGTCATTGCTAAATTTTCTTTTTGAACACAATTTAAGCCTTAAATAAAATTCAGTTTTTTAATACAATTTTCTGAGGAATACATATTGCTATTTATACATTTATACAACGTATGTGAGTACCTCTTTAACTACATAATATAAGTCATATAATTACAATTTTAAAATATTGCCAAGGGTATGAGATTTTAAGTACTTCGGCCCACGGTGCCCAAACAAGTTGGCGGGCTGTAACTAAAAACCGCAAAAGCTTGACAACCCAACTACCCGCAGTCCCCCGCCGGCATTGCTGCCGCGGCAGTCGCTCTCACGCCAATCGCGCTGCCCATGGCTCAACGGGTCTGCGCTCTCCGCTCTCCGCTCTCCGCTCTCTGGTCTCCACTCTTCGCTCTCACACTGTCGACTTTGAGAGCTGTTGCTTCCGCTCCCGTGGTCTGAGTGTAAAAGTATCTCTTTGTTGTTGTTGTGTTGTTGTTGTTCTTGTTGTTGGTGGGCTGTACGTGGGCGGCAACTCAGCCGTCGCCGGAGCTGAAACCTTAGGCCAAGTTTCAAGCTTGAAATGCTTTGACGATGACGTCGTCACCAGCGTCGCCTTCGTCGCCGTCAATCAAATTGTGCGCTTTCAGCGCTGTTCGCCGCGTCGCATTTGGTTGCATGTGCTTTGGGGTTTGGTTTTGGTTACGGTTTTGGCTTTGGCTTTGGCTTTGGCTTTGGCTTTTGCTCTGGCTTTGCGTTTTGCGTAGTTTGCGTACTTTACACTCATTGGCACATTCACAATGCAAATTGATAGCGCAAACAAACAAACATGCAAACATTTTATGGTATTTACCTATCGAATATCGCCCGGTTTTGCTATACGTTTGTTTATATTCATTTACTCTGATCTCCAAGGAAAAAAGAGTATATTACCATGGCAGGATTTTCTTTAGCTCTTAGATACTGCGAATAGAGAAAACAGTTTGTTCCCAAAGTTAAGGAATGGCATTTGAATCTTTTCCAAGAGCTCAGCACATTTACTACGCTTTCTACTCACAAGAGTTATAACTCTGTGCACATATTCCCATTTATTATGCTTATCACAGAGTATCGTACAGTCAAGCGTTTTCCATTGCAGCGTTCTTACTTGTTTGCTTCTTCTTCCACTTCAACTGTTTTTTCGTCGTCGTTTGTCCATTTAATATTCATTTATTCCGCCAAGCTTGTTTATTTTTCTGTGTATTTGGTGTTGTTTTTGTTGTTGTTATTGGCATGTGTTGTATTTGTTTTGTGGCCGAAAGCCGTAATCGAGAAATCGCATGTGAGCCATGGCCATGATTTTGAATTTGATTTCGAATTCAAATTCAAATTCAAATTCAAATTCAAATTTGAATTTAAGTAGCTGCAACACCAAAAAAATACTCCTAAAAGGTACTTGTCACCTATTCCGCTACCCATATGAAGCCACTAAGACTATTTTCATTTTATTTGGTGTTATTATAATGGATACTGAAACTATGTGGCTCATAAGATTGAAATTGTCTAAATGAAATGCTGTGGAGCATAATACTCTTCCTAATATATTTCTTAAATTTTACATTATTTTCTTTTAATTACTAAAATTGGCTTATCGTTTATATTTTTTATTTTGTATTTAAAAATTATTAATTATATTTGCTTTGAATTTTATGAATCTTCAAATTGGGCCTATCTTTTAATATTTTTATTAATTTTTTAGCTTAGTATCTATGTGTATAAAGTTTTTTTCAAAATTTAAAACATTTGCAATTAATAAAAATAAATCGATTTTCGCTATCTGCTGTGATTTTCCAGCTAGCCGAAAGTTAATTAAAAGTTCTTCTGTAAAGTTCCAGCGTAGATATATAGCAAATAATTAGTTAAGGAACTTTCGACATATTTTAGATGATACTTTTTAAAGTCGCCGCTGCACTTACTTTCAGCAGATGCTAACACAATGAAGTTAAACAATTAACAAACAAATATGGAAAGAGAATGTTTTATAAAAATTGCTTGGCGTATGTATCTCGCGCTCTTCTTTTTCTTTAGCTTTACTGTTGATTGGCTAATTAATTGAGTTCAAATAAGCAGTGGCAACTGGTTTATCAGCTGTTTTATTTTGGTATTCCATCTAACGACTCTGAACTATGCTCATTATGGTCTTTTAAATATTTAGAGTGCGGCTGTGGTACATAAACGATGCCAATGGGACACATAAAAGATACGCGCGCGGCTCGTAGCGTAGAACGTTGTGAAAACGTGGCCACTATACTGCACCACGCCCCTATCCCCGCACCTATCCCCAGTTCTTCTGCCAGTCTCTTTGACTATTTGAAAAGTTTCGAACTCATAAATTCTTTTGTCTCTTGTTTTGTTTTAATTTCCCTTCTGCGGCATGAAAACAAAAGAGAGCGAACGAAAAAGAAAAGTGAAAATTCAGTGGGAAAATTGTCGTTTGTTGCGCTACGGTTACAGCACCAACAGCAGCAACAGCAGCAGCAGCAGCAGCCGACATACTAATTAGTTTCAGTTGCAATTGCATTGAAGCTGAATTTCACATTTAACGTGCTGCTGCATGTAGATTGAGCAACACTTTCCATCTGGTCTATAGGCCATTCGCTCTCGATTGTGCAACAGACGGCAGACAAATTCAGTTACACAGTCACTGACTGACTTAATTCCCTACATTTTAACCCCACATACCTTGCATCTGTATCTGTATCTGTAACTGCGTCAGTATCTATATCGTTGCCAGTATCTACTTCATCCGTGAGTGTGCGTCGTCTGTGTGTGCGAAAATGTATCTTGTCATGTATCTACGTATATCTGTAACTGTCTTTGCTTATGTATCTGACTCTTGTATCTGTATCTGTATCTCAATCTATATCTGCTTGCGTTTCAGTATTGGTATTTGGTATTTGCGTATATGTTTCTGCATCTGTGTATTTGTATCTATGTCTATATTAGTATGTGTATCCTTGCCTGAATCTTTTTGTATCTGTAACTAAGTATGTGTGTCTGCCAGCTTGAATAGATTGCTTTTTCATTTTCATTTTCATTGCGTGTCCATTTTGTTTCAGTTGCTTGTTATATTTCTTTTGAAGTTGACAATTTGTTAGACGTGTGTGTGAGACCACTATTAAAATGACTGCGACCTAAACTCGCCAATCAGTTGCAAGCCCAGACAGGTGCAATTGAAGCATGCTGATAAGCTGATAAGCTGATAGCGCTGATTGGCTTGGTCATATAACTATATTAGGAATAATGTATTGTAAACTCTCATACATATACTATGTATGTGCATATATACCTAACTGAGATTTGTTCATGTCTGCTATTGAAGTACAAGTAAGACCTAGTTTTTGAGTCGACATTAGCCCTTACATTCGTATATACTTACTTATACTATATTTGTGGAATTGTGTTTTCATTAAGTAGAAGCTATTTTGGCTGCATTGATTGCCTGTCACCTGAAATACCCTTTAATATAAAAAGCTATTATATAGATTTATTATCAGGCGCCATTTTACAAAACACCTGATAAGCTGTGCATGCAACCTGTTATATAGACTACGCATACTATATAATTATTGTACTTATTTATAGGGAAATCTATATTCATCTTCTAATCTATTGGAATCAATAATTAGACAATAGAGTGCATAGTCTAAGCTATTTAATGTTCGTTTGCCATCGGAAATGGTTTTTTTCTAATCTAAAATATAATTTTATGAAAATGTCTTTTAGGTAGAATTGTCTAATGAATATTCTTTTTTAATTATATAATATATATAATTATATAATTATATATTCATTATTATATTTAATCCAATTACTAAACGGGAGTTTTCCACTTCACTGTGACTGATGAGTGCCAGCAGCAAGCAGCTAATGAGTTCTTTACAGGTGTTTACGTAATGAAATCAGAATATATATAGCATAAGTAAATATTAGCCACTAATAGGATTATATACCTTTTTAACAATTTTGCAGGTCATGAATCAAACGAGAACCTGTTAATTGTTATTTGTTACTTTCGTCCATGAACTTGTATTACGCTTTTCTCAAGTCGTAAATGCTTCTTGGATAGCTTATAATTATGTAAGAAATCGGTAAATGGTAAAAGATTGATCAATATATGTATATTGTTAGCTATTGACTGTCGACTATGAAGGTCATAAATGAATATGTCGACAGAGCAGTTTCTGTGATAGTTTGTCACACTGTGCAACAATTTGGGTTTTCTTTTAGTTGGAATTGTTTTTGTTGTTGCGGTAATCGCTGCCTCGGCAGCGCAACAGACACAGTTGCTACCATCTTATGGGGATTACGTTGGCTGCAATCTGGAAAGAAAAATAAAAGCGAATCGCGTAATAAAAAAGCATCAATTGGCGCTTGCTCTTAATGAATAAACGAATGGGGCGAGCACAGCTTCGAGCTAAGCCAGCTCTGCCTAACTGACACACAGATAGACAGACAGACAGATGCCCAGCGGCTCACACGCCGACCCCCCCTTCCCCCACTCAGCCACGCCCTCACATTGTTGATGCTTATTGTTGTTGCGCTTCGCTGCGCGTTAAATTTGCCCGCGAATGAAATGAGACACAATTTTTTTGATACATTTTCATAGGAAAAAGAAAAAGACGAGCACGAAAATGACAATGCTGAAATCTTCATACTCGTTCCCTAAGTGAAAGAGGGTCGAAAGAAAGAACAGTACAGGAGAGTGTAGAGACTTCGAAATTGAAATGTAAACTCGTCTGTATTCTGGTGTTAAGATTTTTTAAATATGCCAATTGGCACGTGGCTATCAAATGAAGTGTCCTGCAGACTTAAAATATCAAAGCATAACGAGAAATGAATAAGAATATATACTTTGGAGCAGTTGACATACTATTGGCTCCGGCTCCAATGTAAACGGGTATTGTGCAGTGGGTTCTGCCCGGCTGCAGCGTTTATACTTGCTTTCCATTATTCGTGTTCGGCTTTAGCTGTAGATGTATGCAAATCAAGTAATTTGTTTCGCCCAGCGACACATCCAACGCAGATGATGCAGCCACTTCCGGTGTCAATTTTTATTTTATTTTATTTTATGTTTTTCTTTTTCTTTTCCATTTTCAGTTTTCTTATTTTTTCTTTCATTTTTTAGTTGATGCGTCTTTGTGAGTTGCAAGTCGCTTGTGGGGATGAATTTAAAAATAAATTAGGGAAAATATAAAAATAAATAACGTTGCTGTACTTGACAGCGCACTTAACTAGTAGTTACCCTGCATACAATTTTTAACGAACGTTCTGCGTTAACTTTTGTGCTTTAACAATAGAGAAAAATTACAGAAGTCAAAGATGACGAGAATAGCTGTAGAAACATATAGATACATAATTTAGATACATTTCTGGTGTGTTTATATTTTAATATATGAGTTTCAGTATATATCAAATGTATATCAAAGTGAATAGACTCTTCTGTAGAATAGGGTTTACAGCCACATACGTCAATACCCTCTATTTCTACTTACTTGTTCCACTGATATAAATTTACTCGCACTACCAAATCAATGCCAGTATACCAAGTATTTAAGCAGCTTTTAAAATACATTTTAGAAACGATTATTCAGGCTGACGATATTGTCATATCCATTCCACTCACACAGTGAATCGCTTATATATTATATATATATATATATATATATATATATATATATATTTGCTGAGTAAAAAAGGGAGTGCGGATCACTGTGTCTGCTGAGACTACGGCATTTTTTATGCAGGTGGAAGTTGTCGCTGTCGTTGGCGTTCATCTTGCGAAAGAGTTTCATCTTTGGCTGTGGCCTCGTCTCATCGCGGGGTCGGTTCCTCGCTAGCCCCTGCCTATTTCAAAGCCATTAACAAGCGGCAAGAAGAAGAAGCAGCAGAAGCAGACGTCGGCGATGGCATTATTATTTTTTCTTTATAAAAATAGCTAAAATATGCTTAATTTAGTTGCGCGTTGTGTGTGCTGTGTGTATCCCACATAATTATTTTTGTTAACTAAGTCCGACAGGCAGACAGACAAACAGACTGAAAGACTGCAAGACTGACTGACTGCCGCGTGGTCGTCACAATAGATATATGTAGGTACGAGTATATACGAACAAAATATAGCCAAAATATAAACCATTTCGAACGCCCACGCAGACGCTGAAGAGCGGAACTGAAGACCACTTACAAATGCGCCAAAGAATTATTGCTATTGCTGTAGTTTTTATTTAATAAAGTGAATTTATGCTACACTACAATGAGTCTAACGTTCATTTACACTGTGAGAAATTCCCACCCAGCGGGCCTTTGCATTCAACATGGGCTTTTCTTAGCCGGCCACTGAGAAAACTAAATTAGTTCATTTATATGTACAGCTCTTCTTTTTTCCATTTCCTCACTTGGTCAACTTTTATGGCATTGCAACAATATAATTCCGGGGGGCACTGGGTGAGAATAATTTCTGAGTAAGTCATTAAATGGAATTTGACTGACCCTTGAGCACGGATGATGTGAGAGTTGTTTGCCGCATCAGCTTTTGACTAATTTAGTCTTTTATGCGTGAGCTTAAAGAATTCAAATCTCATGAGAAATATAATTATTATAAAAGGTTATAAAGGATCATCGACTCATCAACTCTTTTCACTACCTTTATTTCCGATTCAAGTAGAGCTGAAAGTATTTAAATTTCATAAAAAGAAAGGAAAACATAATATGTAGTACGATAGTATGGGGCTCAAGCCCTATTTAACAAGTGTTCCATTTAACATTTAGTTTAAATAAAATCAAACTTTAAGATTAATGAATTGATTGAATGCAGAAATTGTATTTTCTATAATACTTAAAGCATACCCTATTTTGTTAGATTTGCTTAGTATAGGCCTTGATTCTAAAGTATAATACCATATTGGCTTCTAAATGTCATTTTATAAATAGGCATAGTTGGTACAAGTTTTCAATATTTCATGCTTGTCTTAAGTGAATAACCTCTTGCCTATATTTTTTATATTTATGCGTTCAGAGACGATTCTGTTCAATTCCAAGGCCTTACGCAATATTTTTGTCGGCCAAAAAAAATAATTATGAAATCAAATGCTATGTTAAAAACAACATTGAACATGTGCACAATACAAGACCTCTTGTCTTTATGTTCTCTATTAGACCAGAAAAGAAAATAAAAAATAAATGATAAGCATCTTGAGCAAGTCCCCTTAAGACTACGATCCTTACCGCCCACATTGACATAAAAAACCTCTTCGGACATGTGTCGTTCTGCACAAGCGGGGTTTCACGACTTCTAAATACCCTATACTATATTACACGGCGCTTAAACATATTTCTATAGTATTTTTTTATCAATTTAATATTTTGTTCATATTGAAACTTAATTATTAAATGAACTATTTTTTCCACTTACATATAACCTGGATACACTCTTTAGATTTTTATTAAATAAGTATACGATATATGGCAACGATTCAAACGAACAGAAAACAGATCGGTCCCAATCAAAATACGAAAAGAAAAGAAAATTCCAAAGTATACTATCAAGATCCAAAGCCGATTTCAAGAGAATTCTGTTTATTGCACCCAACTCTGTTGATGAAGTAAATAAGACACAAACAAAACAGAAAAAAGGCAGATACCAGAAACCAGAAAACAAGTCCAATCCGAGTGTAAAGACAAATTTAACTTTTGTGTGAAACAAGGTAAACTCGTAAGATTCAATTTTAGGGCCTGGAGGCCTTTGTTTGACAAAAAAACATTTAGTAGAATTTCCTACTCTCTCATCGTCTCATCAATATTTGTGCAGGCGCCATAAAGAGACAATCTATTGTGTTAGGTCAGAGCTGATGATGATGGCTTTTATGTACCACGAGGGATGATGAATAAATGAGATAAAGTTCGGGCGTGTGGGCCTCTGAAGTGCTGTTATGTTAGGCCTAGGTAATTCAGCTGGAGAGGTGCTTAAAACTTTGAGAGTGTATATACAACGAAAATTTCAGTTGTGCACACGACTGCAAAAAGCAACAAGAAAAATAATTAAAATAAATCTTGATAAATATTTTATATTCATTTAAAAAAATGCAAATACCTCATTATATAATTTTGCTTATAATGTAATAAAACAAATGAAAGAAAAACAAATTTTGTTTAATTATGTTAGGTCGCAATCTGGTCTAAAATCAGATAATTAATTAGACTTGGATATTAATTTATAAGCTAACTAATACTCTGCACGATTGGTCACGTAGTAACAGCAAGTAAGTTGGATAGGTTCTGTCTATAAGAGACTTCAAATCGATGTCATTAACCAACCTGTGAGCATTGTACTGGAAACTTCAATCATTCATTCATGAATTCAATCATTAAAAAATCTGAGTTACTTAAATATATAAATTAAAATATAAAAAAAGATTAGAAAAATCAGTTCTTTAACATTAACTGTAGGTCCATCTCTTAATTCTTTAGCCAATATAGGGCAAGAGAGAGAGAGAGTGAGAGAGAAAAAGAAAAAAAGAAAAAGAGAAAAAATCATAAAACATTTTTGAACATTTGTTCTTTCTGTTGAGCATTATTTTTGCTATAATCATAAAGTCACAGCATCATTTATGTTTTTTACGATCTTTCAATTTGCTGCCATTCTTATTTTGATGATTGCTCTCAAATGCGTGTTATCCTTTATTATGAAGCCAACGTTATGATTTTTATTCGAACATCGATTTTTTCTACTGTCTACGGGTTGGACGTAAAATTCAGACAATGGCATTAACCATAAATGGTCGGACTCAATTGGCACGTGACGTCTACGGCAGATGTTGCCTCTAGCATAGATAGACTTGCTACGCAGGCGTAGATATATAAGTATATATGTTTTTATGTACGAATTTATTGAAAATACTATACATTTTGGCAATTTATGGACGGCTGTTGTCCGAGTTCTTAAAAAAGTACAAAATCACATTCAAAAACGTGTAATAAAATAGAAATAATATTTATAGCTGAGACGTCGAAGGGTCTAAAAATATCGCACACATACGCACACAAGCAACAGTGATGCCAACTACCTATAGCAAAAAGAAGTCAGATGAAACCAAGTAAAAAGCGAAAATAAATTTAAAAAACTACAGAAGCAGGACTAAATTTGTTTCCCTAGTTTTATAGGCTCTTATGGAAGGTCGTCTATGACAATATATCTCTAATATATGTATTCATATTTCTTACATGATCTGCTTAATATTTTTAACAGCAGTTTTCCCCTTATTGTTGTTGGCCTTTCGCTCAGATATCAGGTCTCTTCCATCGGCATGTATGAGACAAACATATCTTATCGCAATTTGTTGTAATACTTACGGTTTTTGGAGAATTGATTAATAAAAATAAAATATTTTCATTTGTTTTAACATATATGTTTATGTCAGCTTAAAAATTATGGATTTTCGAATTGTTACGTACGAAAGTTTTTGCAAGCTCAGCTCAAAAAGGGTTAGATCTGTATAGGAAAATGCTAAATGGGCAGTACTGACGTACACACACACAACAAAGCGAATCAACAGCATCGACGAGCAGATACAGATACATACGTACACGCGCAACAAACCGAAGCAACAGCGTCACCGTCAGAATCAACGGGCTCCCATGTATTTCAGCTCTCACCCCTGCTTAATACCATTGGCCCTGGTGACCATGTGCACGCTTTCCCATTCATGCAGCGACGCGACCTGCCTCAGAGACACAGAGTGATAGACAGATATAGAGATAGAAAGCGAGAGAAAGGGAGAGAGGAAGGGAGAGTGTGACAGCAATGACCCAACTTCACATGGCAAGGCAAATCCACTTGGCAGCAAATCGCTGGAGCATTTTGATTTAAATCGATCGATTTTGTGGCTGAGCTCATTTGGCGTAAAATAAACTTGCGCCGAGTCAATAATCCCTTTGGTTCAGCCAGCCAACCACACTCACCCACCCAACGGGCCACAGCGAAGTGTTGGCCATTGTTTGTGGTATTTTGAAATACACGCACACACTCACACACACACACAAGCACACATGCACACACTCACACACATGCATAGCATTAATTTCACAATTTGACTAGCTGAATTTTTCTGTTCGCACTTGTTAACAAATCGTTGCGTGTAAACAAAAATTACTTCAGACG